CGTTGTATACATCCCGATAAATCTAACATCGATAATTTATAAACTTGTCCACTGATGACTCCACTGCGTATAATAGACCTATAAATGCTATAAATGAATCACTATAGTCGCATGTCTTCATTCCTTCATGTATCCAAATTACGTCGGTGTCGCAGTGATCAGTGCGTTATTCGCATATGTCTTCGTTCTTTGCAGTGTTTCGCATTAATGTTATATTATCTGTGCATTCATGTTATACGCATTCCGTAGGTGTCGCAGCGATCAGTTCGTTATTCGCATGTGTCGTTGTTCTTTGCAGTGTTTCGCATTAATGTTATATTATCCGTGCATTAATGTTATACGCATTACATTAATACGTCGGTGTCGCAGTGATCAGTTCGTTATTCGCATGTGTCGTTGTTCTTTGCAGTGTTTCGCATTAATGTTATATTATCTGTGCATTAATGTTATTCGCATTACGTCGGTGTCGCAGTGATCAGTTCGTTATTCGCATGTGTCTTTGTTCTTTGCAGTGATTCGCATTAATGTTATATCATATATCCGTGCATTAATGTTATACGCATTACATTAATACGTCGGTGTCGCAGTGATCAGTTCGTTATTCGCATGTGTCGTCCTTCTTTGCAGTGCATGTTTCGCATTAATGTTATATTATCCGTGCATCAATGTTATACGCATTACGTCGGTGTCGTAGTGATCAGTTCGTTATTTGCATGTGTCGTTGTTCTTTGCAGTGTTTCGCATTGATGTTATATTATCCGTGCATAAATGTTATACGCGCGCATTACGTCGGTGTCGCAGTGATCAGTTCGTTATTCGCATGCGTCTTTGTTCTTTGCAGTGTTTCGCATTAATGTTATATTATCTGTGCATTAATGCTATACGCATTACGTCGGTGTCGCAGTGATCAGTTCGCTATTCGCATGTGTCGTTGTTCTTTGCAGTGCATGTTTCGCATTAATGTTATATTATCCGTGCATTAATGTTATACGCATTACATTAATACGTCGGTGTCGCAGTGATCAGTTCGTTATTCGCATGTGTCGTTGTTCTTTGCAGTGTTTCGCATTAATGTTATATTATCTGTGCATTAATGTTATACGCATTACGTCGGTGTCGCAGTGATCAGTTTGTTATTCGCATGTGTCTTTGTTCTTTGCAGTGATTCGCATTAATGTTATATTATATATCCGTGCATTAATGTTGTACGCATTACATTAATATGTCGGTGTCGCAGTGATCAGTTCGTTATTCGCATGTGTCGTTGTTCTTTGCAGTGTTTCGCATTAATGTTATATTATCCGTGCATTAATGTTATACGCATTACGTCGGTGTCGCAGTGATCAGTTCGTTATTCGCATGTGTCGTTGTTCTTTGCAGTGTTTCGCATTAATGTTATATTATCCGTGCATTAATGTTATACGCATTACGTCGGTGTCGCAGTGATCAGTTCGTTATTCGCATGTGTCTTTGTTCTTTGCAGTGTTTCGCATTAATATTATACGCATTACGTCGGTGTCGCAGTGATCAGTTCGTTATTCGCATGTGTCTTATCCGTGCATTCATGTTATACGCATTACAGTCGAACCTCTACTTACGGACACCTCCCGGCAGCGGACACCTCTTGTAAGCGGACACTGTTTTTGTGTCCCGGCCAATACGCTATGATATTACTATATTTACAACCTCTCCTAGGCGGACACCTCCCGTAAGCGGACGCGGACACCAAAACAACCTTCCCAAACAACATTATAACCTCTTATAAGCAGACACACGCATGTGTCTTTGTTCTTTGCAGTGATTCGCATTAATGTTATAGTGTGGAGTGTTGTCCCATGACCATTCCTTCTCCGCCGTGGCCATTGCACTAAAGGAGTCAATTGTGACTTCTCCCATTCGAATCTGGAATCTAATACAAAGAATACCAGATCTTTTCTAAACCCAAGCACCTGACCCCATGTCACTTCCTAGGAAGAAAGGGAAGCTGTTTAAAAGGCGAAAAATGCGACTTTTTTCACAAAATCACCCATCTTCAACAACTGCACTATCCCAATTATTACGAAAATCCGGCTTTTTTAGAACCGCTGGAAAGCATCAAGTCAATATTGAGACAGGTGGAGGTGGGTCTGCATGCCGCAAAATCGTCAGCTCCTATGGCCACTAATGAGCATTAAATGAGCATACATGGTTGCGGGACTAGTAGGAAACACTTTGATCTCAGTATTTTTTAAAATCCAACAAAAGACGACGATTTATCGACGAAATTTCGCGAAGCGTTGGCGAGGCTTGTCACAAAGGACGCTGGATCGAGAGATAGATGCAAGTTTAAGAAATCAAATCGCTCAACAAACACTTCACGTTTGTGAAAGACACTTTGAAAAGACCCAGCTGAAACATGTAAGTTATTTTCTTTCTCTGGTAGAGGTATTGATATTTCGGTATGAACGCTTGAAAGTTACAACTTAATAGCAGAAGTACTGTTTATATTTCATGTATCAGATGATCAAATTTGTATTAACCATATGGTCATAGAGCAGGAAAAATATATTAAATATTAATGATTTGCATAAAAGTGCGTTTCGGTCATTAGGTCATATTTATATAACAGTTAATCCTTGTGTTCATAAAATGAAGGTATACATATTATTCAGGACACTGTCACTGAGGACAGTAGAAACACTTTCGTATACAGTAAACAAAGTATTATACAATATTCAAAGGCTATTTTAATAGCAAGAAACTGGCATAATAAAGTAACAGGATTTTTGTTTGGCCATGTCATAGTATATGAAAGCCCCATTTACAGTTATTATAAATCTTGTTTTATTATAATTACTATCTTAACAATACTTTATAAATTAAGTCAACTTACTGTATATATAATCAGATATTTTATGTTCTGCTTTACTTCCCACCTGCAAAAGGCTTGTAGCTGGTGCTATTCCTACCTTTAATTTACCCCAGAAAAGCATACCTCTCTACATCGACAATTGGAGCCAGGTAACATTGCTGGTCTTCACACTGGTCAGAGGAGTAAATGGTATGGTGGATTAGAAAAGGCCTTGCCGTAACATAAAACAGAACTAATCTAGTGAGAACTTTTGTGGGGTTTTTGTACCCCTGTAAAATACCTTCCAAAATGCAGGGAATGGCATTTCCAATTGTTTAGATTTCAGGGTTAGGGGCATGCACCCAGACCCCTCCAGGAGTCTTGTGCCTTCAATGTTCAATCATTTTTCGGCCACCTACTTGTAAACTTAATGACAGCACTGCTTCAAAAGAGTAATATGCAATAATTTGTACATATATGTTATAAAATAATTATTAAAACAGATTATAAATGAATAGGTGAACAATAAGTACTGGCATTCTTTTGATACTGCAATGCTATTAGATTGCTCAATAATGTCATTCCACAAACGTTTTGCTAATGGAGGAGCTTGGACATTCTTAATAACTTTATCAACGTGTAAAGAAGTAGGCTTACCTTAATTCTTGTGTGCTTTCTAAAGCACATTCAGCAATCTAGCAATATCATAAGTCATGAATTTGGTACCCACAGGGCTGACGGTATCTCCTTTGTCTAATATATTATAAGACTTGGTCTTGGAAACTGTGGGATGCATGGGCATGAAATATCATGGAATCTTGGAATAACATTCTATTTTGATGTGACAGAAATTATGATCAAAAGTAACAAATCACATGTTAGTAGACATTGAATCACTGTATATTGGTCAATGGCTGGACTTGTAATTGACAATTGGACACAAGCCTTAGGGATGGCCTTAGGGCCTACTATTTTAAGACATTCATATCTAGGTTACAGTATAGTACTAGCTGTAGAATTTGTCGAGTGCTTAATACTGCGTCGATATTCGCACGGGAATTGCTTTAATCCTTCAATCTAAACGACAAATATAAGTCAAATATTAAGTCTAAGGCACCTCACTACATATTGTTTAATTGGACACCATATAAAGGACTTACTTCTTCAACTGAACGCGATATTTCTTCAGTTAATTCATCCGCGTTGATTTGCAGCAGCTAAATAGTTTGATGAAAATCGCCTCCGTCGTTGTATCTGCGTCCCCAGCACCCAGAATTGGGCTCTATTAACTTTACTTTACTTTACTTTACTTTACTTTACTTTACTTTACTGCTGACGCGATGCAATATATCTGCGCTACGCGCAGATACAAAAAGTAAAATTACTTGAAAGAACTTGATTTAAACGACTCTGATCTCTATATAGCTCAAATTTCGCGTACGACAACAGTCATTATATGCTGCTTAATAATCCATGCAACAACGCGTTTCACCAGATCATGTACTAAAGTTTTGCAGATTCGCGAATATCAGTAGCTCTTTATTTTACTTATTTCCCTCAGATTGTGTTTCAATTTTGTATCGCTAAGCCTCATCACAGAGTAGAGACATACAGAGACGTAACTGACCGTTGTAAACACCGCGGAAGGTTTACGTTTTCATGTACCCACTTTTTTTCAGGCGACCGGGCAAAAAATGATCAACTGCGCGTGCTCAGCAAGTTTAAAGTGAGTCGTCATCAGGTCGTCATCCAATCAGATGCATGCATCTAGTAACTTGTCGAGCATGCGCACAAAAAAGTGGGTACACTAGTAACGTCTCTGTATGTCTAGCTCTACTCTGTGGCCTCATTACAAAGAAAACAGCATCATTACTATTACTTTTGGTTAGTCGTTTTAGTGTTGTGCACTAGAGCGCCAGTGGTCTGCCGGCGTTTTTTTGGTCAGCCGGAGTCAGTGGCGTTAAGCCAATCATACTGATACATATCACATTTTGAGTTATTTAGTCTACATATCTTTCAAAATTTCCCTCATTGGCTGTTTTAAAAACTTTCAAATACTGAAAAATCGCTTCCGGTGTGTATTGGCCTAAACTCGTTTGGGCGTCCACCTGCTCAAGTCAGGGCTCGATCCAGGTCAGTTAACGGATCCTGAGCAAGGATGACATTATGTGTTGTGAACTTTATTTAGTCACGGTGGACTCATCAGGATTTTACACACTTATGATAAAGTAACAAAGGAAATTAGATATATGATAAATTATACTATACATATTTACAAAACTACCTGTTTTTCATGAGTGCCGTGCATTAAATTGATAAAATTGATAAATTATTGACTTTTCAACGATTTCTATTTTTCAGAATGTCTCTCAACGTTTGAATAGGAGGCTAATTTACATCAGAATGTTGACCGAATAAAGCAGCTATACTGTTTCTTCATTAAAATAGCAAAAACGTCCAGCTTTCGTTGTAGTAAAAGTATACAATATCTGTTATGATAATTTCCAGAATCAGAAACCATTACCCAAATTGGTAACAATCAGAAATGATTACTCAACGTATTCATCAAGCTTTTTTGAGGGAGAGAGGCGGCTCTTCCATGATACTTGTACCATGCTCGATATACAGGGTGTATAAAAAAACTGCACAGCTCGACTGCATGCTGCAAATTCAGCAAAATTTGTGAACAATTTATGCAAACATGAGTATAGCTTAAATTTATGAATTATCAAAGTAACAGATAATTTGATGTACATTATACATCCTACGCGAACAATATATGCATGTAGAATATAACAGTAAAGCATACCTCTCTAGCCTTGAGTTGACAGAATGCTTGAATCCTGTATGACTTCGAAGCAACACAAGGATTTCCTAAAAAGTATTAGTTTGTTTAGAAATTAAATTAGCACTCATGTAAACCCAAAATATTTCAAATAGAGAGCAATGAAAAGCATTCGAAGACCTGAGATGCTTGGTATGCAAGCGCGATAGAAAAAGTAACGGCGTTTGTGTTCACACTATGGCGATATATAAACGCTCGTAGTTAAAGTCTACACACTGCGACAGAATGAAATCAATGAATCGCTATTCAAGATGGCGTCATTATTAATGAAAAAGCAGTTTATTGTACCTGTCAAAGCGAATATTCGTAAGTGTAATAAAGATGATATCTTGACCAGTAAACCTTCAAGATTTTGTAATTTATTGTTTGCAAGAAGAAGTGACTTCAGGTTTCGAAGATCCTATCAAGAAGCAAAAACAAATATTTTGAGTATTACAGTGAGCGAGGTGTTCATCTAATTCCACAGTTCCAAAATGTAGAACTTCATCCTGTCAGCGATCCTACACCGCTAAAAACGCACAGGTTGTTGCAAGTTGATATCGACAGGCGTGAACAATGTTGTGCGGCCAACTATGAACAAGTTGTCAACCATGTTGTTCCAAGTTGTTACAGTTGAACAATGCTGCAACAACATGTTGACAATATTGTTCATAGTGGGCCGCACAACATTGTTCACGCCTGTCGATATGAACTTGCAACAAGTTGTTGATTTTCTCAATTTTTACGCGTGTATATGTGATCACAACTATTTCGATATGGAGCCATCTTGTTGATGAACTGAAGTTGAATTTTAATGCCGTGCTGAGTGGTTTCTGGGCGAGAGCGAAGAAGACGTCGCAGAATGGGCTAAAGAATACGAAGACGAACTTGCTATAGCGGACGAAAATGTACGAAGATTGGCTCAACAAATTAAAGAAATCGATCGCCGAGAGTGCATACATAAGCCAACAGATATTGCGCTATTTGCAGATGATTCAAAGGTGTCTATTTGTTCTTTGGTTCTTTGCAGTGTTTCGCATTAATGTTATAC